CATCATGAGGTCTCACAAAATTTCCCAACACAACAAATTGGCAGAAAATTGGCACTGCGACCTTCCAGCCCTAACTTAAGGGGTGTAGACTACAGATTATTTGCCTGGCCCTAAGGGCCCGATCCAAATCCAAGGAACCGTCTGTCGAAACACGCAGAGCTCGCAAAGCAGCACCTAGGCGCCGGTCACCCTCCTCGTGGACCATCTCCTGTCTCAGCATGGCTATATGGGGATAATGGAAAATAAAATGGAAACTACAGGGATTGCAGGGGTTATATAAGGGTTATATTGGGGTCATCAGGGTTGAGTGTTTTAGGGTTTTTGTTCAGGGTGTAGGGGTTGAGGTTTGGTTGCAGGCATTGGGGTTGATGAGCCAATAATACTAAGAGCGGCTACCACAATCTTAGTCTCTCAAGAGGACGGGGTCTATAAAGGTTCGCACTAGGTCAACAGGACTTTTGGTTGGGCGCTGTTCTGAAAGAGTACGCTGGGGTTCTAGTAGGAAATCATAGGTTGATGGACAGAATCCTGCATGACTTCATACACCTGAATTCTTGGAATCTAAGTATTGACAGCATTTTGGGCGCCATGCAAGACTACAGCAACAACAAACCAGGGTGTGGGCCTCAGGAGGTATGAGCGATTAATCATGATGCTGCTAGCCCATTCTTCTCGTCAATAGTGCAAACCTTCTGACCGGCCTGATTCGGCTAGTGGTACTATTTTGAACAATGACAAAGTACTTTGTAAAGAAGAAGCATGGCTACTGGGCCTTCATGCAGCCGAACGGACCGATCATGATAAAAGAGACTGAAACATACGCATTGTACGAATGAGAAGCGGAAATCAACATTCCGAAAAGAGAAGGGGCAAGAAAAGACAGTCAGGGGTTGAGGGGGAGGGAGAGAGAGAGAGAGACAGAGACAGACAGAGACAGAGAGAGACAAAGAGGGCTTGAAGGGGATTACACAATGATTATAATGCATGATGATATAACTTTTTCCCAGGGATATCCCGCAATCACTTTTTCTAAGCCTGAGCCGTGCGTCAACGTGTGACGTGGTACTTGCAGCCTGTAACTAAAACGCAAACACCAAAATCATCAGGGCTTATGTTGCATTATGTCAGGGCTATGTAGGGTCTTATGTGGGTTACGTAGGGAGTACATAGGGCTTATATAGGGGGTGATAAACTTGGGTACTCCCCCCCGCACGGAAACAGTCTATCATAGGGGTCATATTAAGAATTTGTTTGGTGGTGCTATAGTTATTATCCAACTGTAACTGAGCGGGGGTCAGTATCCAACCTCGAACCCTCACACTGCGGTATAAAGGACTGCAATAATAGGATTGAAAAGCCCGAAGCCCTAAACCCTACACCTTAAACCCTCAACCTAGTCAAGCCCGACGGGGGCACCCAACGACCGTCGCATGGCTCTCATAGAAGCCTCCTCATGAGGCCTCAACCTGAAATCCTAAACCCTGGAACCCAAAACCCTCAGGCCCAGATAAATACAAGTTGTACGAGGCAAAAGCAGAACCCCGGTCAAAACCCACAAAAGTCTGGACCTGAACACTATACAACTTGTACAAACCCTGCCTCACCCACAAAGCATGCAGCCCATATCCTAGACCCAAAATCTTAAACCTTAAGCCGTACATCACGGCACATCCCTAAAACCTGACCCGTACAGCCAAACCCCTAAACCCTAAATCCCTAAATCCTAAACCCTAAATCCCCAAAGCCTAAAACCCTAAACCCTAAACCCTAAATCCCTCAATCCCTAAACTCTAAACCCTAAATCCCCTAAACCCTTGCCTCGATGGTCGCCGCAAGAGCCGCAAGGTCCGGCAGGCTGAGCCCTCCTTCGGAGAGTCGAGGCTGAAGCCTTCACGAACTTAGCGGTTTCAGGGTTTGGGGTTTAGGAGATTATAGGGACCTCTAAAGGGTTTAGGGCGTATAGGGTTTCAGGGTTAAGGGGATTT